TCGTAAAACGCTTAGTATTGTTAATACTTGGAAAGATTCCAAGATAATAGGTATGCTATTTTTATCACTGGATTTAACAACATCCAGAATATAAGCAGAGTTCACCTAAAACCTTTGTTAGATGGTACTTGCCTTTTAATTTGTTGACAAAAATTCAGCAAATTGTAATTCTTGTGTACAACTTCTTTATTTGGATAGTTAAATTTTTATGAATAATTAAACAATTCACCAGTATGAACGGTATTACTTATTTAAACAAAAGAGTTTAAGATTGTAATAACTTTACACCCAGCTTTGGGATGTGTAAAAAAAGTTAAAAATTAAACAATTCAATTTTGTATAAAATGGTATTTATTCAAAAGTTATTATTGTATTACTTATCTACATTCTTTGAATTAATTCGCAAAAAAGTATTTCTTATAACTGAAAAATTGATGTTTTGCAATTACCGCTCAGAGAAAAATATTTATCTGTCCTAATTTATATTGCCGTATAAAATATATCGTCGATGTAACATGTAGAATTCTTTCTGCCTTTCTGCAAATACACGCTTCAACATCCCGCATGCAACCGTAAAATTTTCGTCCCCTTGCGGGGGTGCGCAAAACCGGACGCGGTCATCGCATGTCCCGCTGTTCGAGGAAAAGTTCGTCACGGCGGTCACGAGCGGGGTCGTTTCGCGACGTGCTTAATGTACTATTAAACGCAGCCATTGTGTCGGCGATCGTCCATCGCGCTCACAAATTTGCTTCCGCCGCGCCCCCGTTTGTCCCTTCGGTCCGTGTACCCCTGCAACCTCGAAGAAGGATGAGCACGTGCCACCCTCATTCCGACGGACGGACAAGATACACGAGATACCCTCGATTTCAACCGCCGTTCGCCAGGTCTCCGGTCATCGATACGCGTTCTCGAATTTCCATTTACGAGAGAACGGGGGAAAAAAATCGTATATCTCGCGGGACAGAAGTGGCATTCATATGCTAAGACGTTCGGCCGAAAATCCCCGGACGTACCCCCGCGGAACGAACTTTCAGCAGCGGGCTTCGCGCGATTTTCCTTGGCGCGGCCGTAGCGACGTAGCCAAAATCTTTCAGACCTTACGTAACGATTATTCATGGAGCCGTCTCCTTATTCTTATCGACCTCTCATACCGATCGCGTGTATCTCCGCGTTATTAATATACATTAGTTGCAACGTTTATTTCGGGTAACGTTAAATCAATTAAAAACATTGTGGCATTGCCCAGCATAATTAAATGCACAATAGAAATCGCTAATAATTAATTTGGCGATTGACTGCAAGGTAGAAAATTTGATGTTAAATTTAACACATTTCACATGTCCCAGACGGTCTATTCAAATTTTTGTTATTTTAACACAAAGTGAATAATATGTTGAAAAATAATATAAATGTTGTGTTAAAAATTAACGTAAAATTAATACGTTAATCGGCATTGAAATATAAAATATATTATTTCAACACTTATGTTGAATATCGATACAATATAAAATTTTGAGATAATATAAACAATATGTTAAATTAACACACAGATATATAAAAAATTTGATACATTTTAACAAGGACCGATTTTAGCATAAAATACAAAATGTTTTCTATTAAGTGAGATTAAAATCTACCTCTCCTAACTGTTTCGTTGGAAACCTTCCAAAAAGAAAAATTACACATTGACTGTATTTGTGGACATTTACGTTTGTATTGACCTGTATTTGTGGACATTTACGTTTTATTCGCTACGTGGTAGCTATAATCATTCTGTGCGGGCTTCCCACAGTTCTTATCTTGTCATAAGCTATTGAATCTTACCAATGTTCCGGAATCGTCCGGCGAACAATCATCAGACGGAAAGGCAGAAGAGAGAGAGAGAGAGAGAGAGAAAAAAACGTTGATGCAGTGTCGCGAATGCTGGGATTACCGAGGGTCGACGATGAATCGACTTCCATGTGCGAGAAGAGATGGACATTCCGATGCTGACGGTTATAAAAATTCACACGGAAGAGTCTGCCCGACAAAGTTTGCTCAACGAAGTTTGCCCGTTGGACGTACTTCGCTGGGCTGTACAAGTAATGACGCAAGTTTTCTACCTTTCGATAGTGACCTTTATTTTCCGATGTGAGCCTCTTATTCGTGAATGTGACGAGAATAATAATCCACCGGATAAACTTTTCAATACTACTCCTCGATATATTTTTCAAAGTTGCGAGTGAAACCATGATTATACGTCGAGGTCCTTCGTTCGGAGGAACCACGTTGTTGATCCGAGACGCGAATACGGCGAGGTCGACGATTTCGTCGTTTGTCCATAAATTAGTAATCTCGGCTCAGTGTTGTGAATATCAATTTAGTGGCAAGCGACGCGCGATAAAACTCAAATAAGGGAGCCGGACGGTCCGCGACGACGCATCGAGGAGAGTGCATACCTCTCGCCACCGTTACTGGCAGTTTCCTGCGATAACCCCAGCATTATACTCGTCGTCCCCGGCGAACGGGACGGGGAGTTCACAATGGTCCACAATGACTGGGCCAACATTACGAATTAGGCTCGGTTACGCGTTTATTGCCGATTCCGGTTCGGGCCAACGGCGTCGGTGCGCTTTTCCTCATGCGAGTCGAAACGTATCGGCGATCGGGCGTCGCGTTGTCCGGCACCGACGCCACTGCCAAGACGAGAAGTATTAGCATTGGTTAGCTTTATGGGGCGTTCAGTTCCGCCGTTCTCTCTCGTTCTGACTCCCTGGCCCGTACTCTTTCGAAAGAGCGAGACCGGGGAAATGAGAGGGTAGAAGAGAGAGAAAGAGAGAGCCCACCACGCAGTGCAGATCAATAAAATCTGTCTGTCTAGAAAAGTAATGCCAAATCGGCTCTTCGTTCTCCCGGCACGAATAAATACCACAAAAGGAGCGGAACAACGAGCGATGGTTTAAACTTCGACGATAAGTCTCCGATCTTAACGTGGAATTTTCGTTGCTCGCGGGTATCGCGGAAATGATTATTTCCCTCGGCGAAGTATTATATAGGGAGATAGAAATAAAGAGAGAGAGAGAGAGAGAGAAAAAATATCGATTGTATCAATAAAAAAAGTACTTCGAAGTCATAAAATATTCAAGGGAATACCCGGAAACATGACTAGATAAAAATGATAAGAAAAAAAACGAGTGTGCCGCCTGAATAACAGAAAATTAATTACTCGCGTCAAATTTACATAACAAGCGAATGCGGCGACGGCAGCGAAACATTTTCGATCTTTGCCTGGTGCGTGCGTTTTTACGGGATTATTGATATACGAGTCCCTTTCTTTTTTTTTCATCGCCGTCGGTGACTGGCGACAGTCCGAGAGGGTGGAAATTGGGGCGCGGTAATTATTAATCAATTCCTGTATTAATTGTTTTCTGGGCGGCGGGCTTAAGTGGTATGTTGTGTTCTGGTTCTTGGCAAGCTCTGCCTCGTAACCAGCTAAAGTGTCATGCGAGAAGATTAATTACGTCGCGGCTACGTTTTATGTGTGTCATACGAGTGGGTACTCTCTTCTTCGTCCGCTCGATACGACTCAAAGTAGGCGAGCCCACGTGAAATCGGTTTTGAGGAAATTCGCGCAGGTGAACGATAAAAGATGATGCGAGCCTTGAAGAGTGTGTGAATTTAATTGCCTAAAGTGATTCCGACGCGGCAATATGTACGCTACAAAACATTTTGTGTTAAAAACGGCCTACTGAGATGTTGTGTTGCTTTAACATAGAGAGTGTATTAAAAAGTACACAAATATGCTCGGCATATGCTGACAAAGCGAATATGTTAATTTAACATTATATTTGTGTACTTTTTAACACATGTTAAAATGACATAAAATTTCAGTGGGCCGTTTTTAACACAAAATTTTTTACCGTGTACGAATGCTCGATTCATTTATATTCTCAACTCACAAATTTTTATAAGTAACTATTCGCAATACCGGAAAAGAATAATTATAATGTTGCTATATTGTTTCCTGCCATGTATACTCTTCTAAACGGGAGGAAGTTGGCTAGTTGCGATCTAAGATAGGGGTAAAAGGTCATGATATTTTTGGCAAGTAAGCATGAATCCCGTAGGGCGAAGGTCTCATTAGGCGTCTTTCTGAGGGCAAACTTTATCATTTCTCCGAACAGACGTGACTCGCTGCTTGTACTCGACAACTGTCGGGCTTCCTTCCTCGCGGAAGAGGAAGGAGGGGGGGAGTGGAAAAAAGGGGTGCACGAAAATAAAAGAGATCCGCGGGAATGAGATTTCGTCGGTGCTCCGTTTCCGAGCCACGAAAGAGCCAAGTTAGTTTTATTTTACAATCCATCGGCTCCCGCGACACGCAGGGGTGAGCCTCGTCCCTCAGCGGTGGTGCGATCGAAGAACGACTGAGGAAGGGGGGAGGGCGGTAGGAGAGGTAGAGAGAGGTGGAGGAATCCTTCAGGATGGTTGGACGGGCCCTGCGACGGGGGTGGAACGGCTGTCAACTAGTGTTTTAAAAGTTTGCGACAGCCTACAAATTGACTCGCTCAGTTCTTTTTAAAAGCACCGGCAACCAACCACGTCGCGCAGCCGTCGCTCTCCGTCTGTCTCCCCGGCGTCAGGACCGTGTCGACGACTGAAAAATCCAGAAGTATTACCTCGTCATGGGAAAGACGGACTGTCTCCGTTCGACGAAAATATTTATTTCCGCTTCCTTCAATTTATCAAGCGTCGCTTGCTTTAGTTTCTCCCCTTTGATAATGAGGAAAAATTTATTTGTAATGAGTTTACTGATTGAAATAGACGAAAACTGCATTATACGAATTTTATGCTGCAGAAGCTGAAATTTTGTCGTTACATCTATATACATTAGAAAATTTTTTTTACAAATAGAAGCAGAAAGAAATATTTGACAAACGAAATTTTAAGACGCACAATGCGTTTTTATTAATAAAAAGTAGTAAAATTGACAAAATGTAATAATATATAAGTGTGTGCTGTTGGAGCGTATTTTCTTGCAAACGCGAGTCCACGAATCCAAAATACGACAAAACATCCGCAATAAATTGCACCAAGAGAACCTTTATCTATTATCCGTTACGCTCTCGATCACTATTCTCGGGAGTATTGCGAAAAGTTGGGGCCATTCTCGGACAAATCGGCCTCTATCCGGAGAGACGCACGATTCAGTATAGCGAATATGCTTGCGTGCGACTCGAATCCAGGAAGTTTAAAAGTATTTCGACGTAAAACGTGGCCATTTCTCATATTTTCTATGCAAGCACGCTCCACCGAGGGCGCATTTGATACACTCTATTAGCCGCATCTCCCGACTGATTTATGGAGTTACTCTCTGCATTATTATACATTTCCCCCCGCTTCGAAATCGGGATTCGCAGCGGCGAAGTTTAGTGGCTCGCGTATATTCCATTAAGCAAAGGAGATCAATGGATATCCTACCGGCTTAACATCTAAATGCTCCCCGCAATACCGCATAGCTCGCGAATAAATCAGTGACGTCGGCGAGACGCCCGCTGGCTTATCAATCGGTAATCTTTATTTTACATTATAAAAGAAAAAGTTTTGTCTCATATGTAGAAAATAAATATACTATCTCTAGCACAAGTCTTTTGAAAATCGCGATGCCAAATCAACGTTCGCGGAGCATCAGGAAAATGCTCTTCGCCACTTCACCACATTGTTCTTCAAACGTTTTCAATCGTGAAATGTTCACAACACTTCCCCATTAATGAATTCATCCGAATTGTTTCGTAATGTACAATTCACAGTTCTTCACGCGCTTCCTACTATTTTAACAAAGTTGTCGGTGGTCGCGGTGACTCGAACATCGAGAAGTTTTGCGAAAGGAACGATGGTGTCTTCGAGCAGCTATTTACGGGTGTCGACAAAGTACTCGATATCGTAGTTACGTAGTCCACGTGGTCTTGTTGCTCATTGAACCATTGTTTTCGAGCTGCTTGCACAATCACCCAGAGATATACGCTTAAAACTGAAATTATCGATAACTTTATCTTCTCTTCATAGAGAATTTAATATATATTTATCATTTTACGAAAATCTCAATTGATTTTTCTATAGCGAGGATTTTGTATACACGGAAAAAAAAGTTTCTTCGGATTTAATAAAATTTCTTTAATTGAACAATTTGTCTTTTAAACCGAAGTAAACAAACGAATGTTTGATTCAACAAACAAAATTGTTTAGTTTCTTAAACGATAAATATCTTTACATCAAATACATATTTCTTTTGTATTTTCATCCAAATATTATAATGACTGTCACAAGCAATAAATTATTCAAAAGAAAAAACACTATGTTAGAAAACTATTAAAGAACTTCTTTCTGTTTCAGTGGAACAATTTTTAATATATAACAAAATCATTTTTTCATTTTTTTATTGAAAACCAAATATCATTTCTTCTAAATAATATTGTTTTTCTATCAAATAACATGGCTTACTCTAGTGAAACCACAACATTTTTCTTCAGATAACATGATATTTTATATTAAATTATGTCGTTTATATTAAACAAACCCAAGTCAAACAAACACATATACTAAATCCAAAGAAACCTTTTGCTTTGTGTAAGAGATCATATATTGTAAAAATTGATTTTTAATACTGAATATTTCTTTTTAATTTCTTTTAAACATTAGATATATAACACAACTGCCCGATTTTGAGAATTAATATTTCTTTTGGGATTTAGAATTAGATTAGTTATAATAGCTTTTTGCTATATGTGCACAATTGTATATATAATAACATCTAACGTGAACTATTTATATTACTTTTTTGTCTCTTAAAAATATCGTAGAGGCATAAAGAATTATATATACCAGGCATTTCAACAAATATAATTATACACTAACATATGTGATCCTTTATGGTTTATATATATGATTTTAATATTTTTCATACAAAGAGAGAGGAAATATACTCACAAAGAGTATTATCTCATTTTTCATGAAATTTTAATTAACTTATATTTTCCCCTATCGAGAACAAATCTCGACATAACAATAACAATTTGCATCTTTTCTCAAGTATAAAACTCACAAGAACGATTTGAAATTCACGATTTTAGCTTGGGTGCTCGCAATCGCGAAAGAAATTAGAAACTTAGGTACTCACTTAGATAGATGCTAGACACCGGAACGTACCACATAGATTTCTCCAAAACATCATACTGTTGCTGGCTGTGTGTAAGGTGGATAGATAACGCGACGGATTGATCTATTATGCTAATCATTTGCAAATACATCCAAGGCACGGCGCACTTGTGTCTTCTCTGTGAACGTACGCGGAAGTTAGCGCAGTTGTTAGCGAGTGGCGACAAGGTTGTTACGTGCCCGAAATATATCTCGCTATATAAAAAGCATTTGACGAATCTGTATTCGATCGGCGATGTGCGCCTTTGCGCTCGACCTTTATCGTAAAGAAGATAGAAGAAGATAACGGAAGCTGTAAACTAACTGTCGTAAACAAAGCGTTGCGTGGAAATCTTTTATCCTTTAACGTCACATACATAATCTATAATTACGAAATTAATCTTCTAAGATAAAAGTACCAATGTCTGAACACGTAAATTCAAATTTTCAACGTAATATATATATATATATATGTGTGTGTATATATATATATATATATATATATATATATATATATATATATTTGTATATTTCGGAGTTGTAGGTACAATTCAGTACGTGATNATATATATATATATATATATATATATATATATATTTATTTATTTATTTATGTTTATATATATATATATATACGAATATTTTATGTTTAAAGATGAAAAATTCATATTTAAAAACCAAAACAACGAGAATGTCTACAGTTAGGCACGTCCAAGTATTGGTACTTTTATCTTACGTTCAATCGGAAATTTAAATCGTTAATTCTATGCAATGTATTTTGAAGAGCTCACCGACATCGATCCCAAAGCTAGACACGCGCTGGCTAACAAAAATAACAGAGCATACACAAGGAAGCATGTCATAGCAGTTTGCGCTGAAACATACACGATGTTCTGATATCGTTTGCAGTAGCAATTTATGCGTCTACGCGATCGACACTTACCTTTCTTCTGCAGCTGCGTATTTCTCAAGATCTGCATCCAATTCAGTCCTAGCACAGCCCATATCTTGCAGGAATCAAAGAACTCCTCATCCCCTTTCCTCGAGAAGAAGTTGCTCATCACCAAGTTTATCATTAGAATCGATAGAGACTAAGAGAGAAAACAAACAAAAAGCCGAATGACGATGGGAAGTACAGACTTCCGATATGTATGTTTTCAATTTAAATACTCGACCTAGTACTCGCGAATTTTTTCTTTAGGCGATAAACAAATTCGACTAATCTCCGACCTTGTTCATTATTAATAACGTTGTTATTATGTGTCTTTGCTTGCTGTTAACGTGCAGTAATGATTGAAAAACAGGTTTTCATCATTTACGTCACTGAATAATGCACCTTAATGCAATCATGTTACACAAGCGATGATCTCGTTTCCGAGCACTGTTAGCAGCGAGATGTTATGCGCAACACGATTTATCTCCGACGCGACTGCGTTCGACATCAATATACGATGCAAATCGCACCATCTTCGGATGCACGACGGAAACGTACAGTGAAAAAAAAAGACAGAAAAAAAATTCCCGAATAACCTCGAACTCACCATCGTGTACGTGCCGATTATCCTCGCCGCTAACGACACGCCGATGCAGCTCAACTTATCCATAGCGAATGAAATTTTTCGTCTGAACGCGTTGCCTCACCGACACGGAGTGCCTGCGGTTCCACCGGCGACGCTTTTCGTGTTACCTCGTCAGACAACACTTGCACGATACAGTGTAAAGGTGTAAACACACACGGCTGCGGGTAAACACACGTTTAGAGCCGCAATCTTCGAAACAAGCTTCGCGCACCGTCGCGCCGTGCGAACGGTCCCGAGTGTCAAAGCTGTTAACAAATATTCCGCGAGATTCTGATTCGCGTTCGCCGTCTGATTACCGTGACGATGCTAGGTGAAGGCCTGGCGCCTATAACGGGCGCCACACGACTCTATCTCGCTTTCAATTATCGTGGCAATATCGTCTCACCTGCGTCAGAAAGACGCGCGTCAATGATTCACGTCAGCGTCGTAATAATGATAATCAAGTTTGTCCATAGCGTTATCGTTTTATCGTCGCGTCTCTTGGGTGGGAACGTCTCTGCTTGTCTGCATTGGCTTCTGAAGCAATTATTAATCTTCTTTTAAAATTTCATGTAGCACAAATATTTAATAGACATTCTAGGGATGTCCCAAGAATATTCAAATATCTCCGAGATATTTCTAGAATGTTTTTTCATCACAAGAATCACAAGAATTCAAATTCGACAAAAATCGCAAGAATTCAAATTCGACAAATTGTTTAAATCGAATTTGAATGAAGACAAATTTTATGATATACTATGTGAAGTTACAAATACCAAATTTTTAATGTAATCGTATTCTCAAGAACATAAAGTCACAATAACGTCAAAATGACAATAAAATGACTCCCAAAGTTCATTTTTGATGAAAATGAATTTATAAAGAAAATTTATAAAATTGTGACTTTGGAATTTAATTCTTACCAAATAAACTGTTTGGTCAATATATTTATGTTGCATATGCTAGTAGCTATATACTAAATTGTTTATACAAATAATAAAAATATTCTATTATTTGTAATTACCATTTTGTTTATATATAGTTAATTAAAATTACAAATTAAAATTATTATAATTCTAAATACAACTAAAACTTTTTTACAATAGCAATTTATTTA